TTAATGATTTCTTTGCAACATTCTTTCAAAATGTTTCAAACTGTATAGATAGAACTGAATATTACAATAACAATACTTATAAACATAATCTCAAGTTTTCTTTCAGCTTAACCACAGTAAAAGAGGTACACACAATCTTAAATGGTATCAAGACTAATGCATTGGGAGTTGACCAAACAACTTCGCGCATGCTGAAGTATTGTAGTCCTTATATTGACATATACTTAACTCATATTATAAACTGTTCTATAGAAATAAACTATTTTCCTGACCAGTGGAAACTATCGATTGGAAGGCCTCTACCCAAAATATCCAACCCTTTAACTTTTAACGATTTAAGAATAATAAGCATCTTACCATCAATATCAAAAATCTTTGAAAAAATTCTCTATAATCAAATGTATGACTAGGGGAGACAGGGGTACATTTGAACAAAAACTACTCACTCCTTGATAAAAATACCATTTATTATTTTTATTGATTTTCTTTAGATTTGATGAATGGTAACATTTATTGGCAACCAAAAGACGGTATCACCCAAAAAAAAAAAGCAAAAAATAACTTAGATTTTTTAAATTTTTGGCGGTTGAGCATTTGTTCAAATGTACCCCTCAGTTGGGGTACATTTGAACATCTAAGGGGCAGTTTTGAACAAAATTAAAAAATGCATCTCCTGACCTTATACCTTAAAAAAAATATCCCCTATGCTTCAAAAATAAATAATCTTTAAATACATTCACATTATTTTCTCCTTAAAAGTGGTAAAGTCGAAAGCAAAGGACAATATATATGCTGCCCTAGCAGTTCCTCCCGAGATATCTGGTGCTGGGAGTTTCAACCTGATGTCTTCTCTCTCTACTTCACTAATGTCATCTTTTTCAGGGAAGTGAAATTTCCATGTACCCTCTTTTCTCTTCATAAATTTAACTGTGTAGGAACCAGATTTGAAAATGTGTTCAATCTGGCCAACAAACAATAACTGAGATTTTTTCGTATTAAATGAAACGAGAATAAAATCATTCAATTTTAAATCAGTGGTATCTGGTTCTTGATTTTCTAGGTCGCTGAATGTTTCCATTTCATCTGACGAGTCATCTTGGAGAGACATGTCAGCCTCGGAGATAGATTCATCAGACTCATCTTCACACAAGGCTTTGAAAACATTTTTTTTAACATTATCAATTTTTTGTAGGGTTTGCTTCATAGATTTGTTTTTTTTAGATTCTCGTTCCATTTTTTCCTCTTCTAATCTTGTCTTTTCAGGAGTTTCTGTTAAAATGCGTGATTTGCCTTTTTTCCTTCCTCTGGCTAAATCAGATCGAGGCGCAGCCTTTGGATAAGGGCGGACACTCTCTGGGGAAACCAATACTAACGTAGGCTTAGAACCAGCATCCTTCGAGGGGGTATCACTGTCTTTACTGCATCCAGGTACAGGGCTTGAATTGTTTAAACCATGAGATGCACTAGACCCCTCTAATGTTCCAGCTTGAATTGGCCTATCGGTTACTGCAGCGCTCATGAAGTCCTCATCTCCAAAAGCGAGCCGATTAAGTGGCCACAGTCCCGGCTTAGTGAATGCAGAAATAATGTTTGTTCTTGTAAACGTTGAGTTGAACGCAGTGTTAATTATGGACGGAAGATTATGAATGGATATGGTTTTGCCAGGATGGCTGGTTAACCAGTCGTTTTGGGCTACTTTTGTCTTAGCCTTGAAAGGTCCCAGCACACCCACATCAAGCGGTTGTAGTTTGTGAGAGCAGTGAGGCGGAAATGTAACAAGTGTTATGCCGTTTTCCCGGGCATAGTTGACTGCTTCGAGAGAGCAGTGGCTCTCATGATTATCCATTAGAAGAAGTATTGGATTAATTACACTGCACTTCGCCTGGTTAACAATATGTTTAAGAACTTCCATAAAAAGAACACGGGTCATCCAGTGGCTTCCCGGGCTGTTAGCCAAAACGATACTATTAGGTGGGCCATCCTCAATCAATGATTGATTAACCCTTGCACGGGGATAAATAAATACTGGAGGCAACGCATTTCCAGCAGCATTAATAATCATGCACAATGTAATTGACTGTCCCCTTTCTGCCGAAACTGCCTGACCGACTTGCTTAGCACCACGTGGAGCTACAATATTTGGTGCTTGTAGGACTGTGGCCACGCCAGTCTCATCAAGATTGAATATTTGACATGCTGTAAAATTTTTAGATTTTAGGGCCCTTTCGTAGTTGTCAAAAAATGCTTCCACATTTGTTTTGTTAAATGAAGTCAACCGCGAGAGTGAGGTATTTTCCGGTTTGCGAATACTTAGATTTCGATGTCGTTGCATAAAGCTGTAAAGCCAGTCTTCTCCAGCTAACTGTTTTGCAATCCAACTGTTCAGCATTTTTAAATTTAATTTTGCTGCATAGTCGTAAGCAAGAACTCTCATCTGTTTGTAGGTAAGACCATAGCATATTTTTGATGAATTAATAGCATATTCAACTAATGCTAATTCTTGTTCTTTGGAAAATACTTGTTGGCTGGAGTATTTGGAATGGAAACTGTGTTTAACCGAAGAAGTAACCGTTCCCTCGTCGTTAACCTTTATCTTCTTGAGGCGGTAAAATAGAGCTGTGTGTGACATACCATAATGTGTAGCTGCTTCCCGCAGTGTCATATTCTGATCACGGACAGCCCTAATTTCGGCTTCTACGTCCTGTTCGCTGTAAACAGGCTCTGGTTTTTTTCTTTTGTAGTTACGAACCATTTTGCACCTGAAAATAACATCTACCTTGAAATATCCCCTAAAACACATGCATTTTTGAGTAAAAAGTTAACTGCATAGTGTTCAAATGTGCCCCCGATGTTTTGTTCAAATGTGCCCCAACGTACTTTTTTTGCTTAACCTAATATTTTTTCGTGACCAGAGAATAAAACCATCAAAAGCAACAAAACTATTAAGAAGCTAACACTTACCTCTTTCAAATGGTATGACACTAATTCACTTTTTTTTATTATTTATAAAACTACAAGACAATTTCTGTTTTGTGATAATTTTAGCACATGTGCTCAAATTCATTACAATATTCTGGAAAGCTAAAATAATATCTGGAGGCAACCTAGCATAGGGTCATATGTGGTGGAACAGTGTTGCCACTGGTACAAGTAATTATTTATTTTTAAATGGGAACCTGTTTGAAGTAAAATCAGATGTTCAAATCTACCCCTTGTTCAAATGTCCCCCAGTCTCCCCTACGTCAATATTAATAGCATTATACCTCCAGTTCAATGCGGGTTTAGAAAAAGTTTCGGAACTTCTGTGGCCTTGGCTAATGTCACGGATGACATAATTCGAGCATGTGATAAAAAAATGGCTACGATTCTTGTCCTCCTGGATTTCAGCAAGGCATTCGACACGATCAATCATAAATTGCTTGTATCTAAACTAAAATATTACGGTTTCGATGTAAAATCGTGTCAAATTATTGAATCCTATTTATCTAATAGATTCCAGGCCATTTCTTATAATAATATGTACTCAGAAAATGCTGCGATTTTGTCGGGGGTACCTCAAGGATCGGTCTTAGGACCTTTACTCTTTTTAATCTACACGTCGGATATTCTTAAATCTTTAAATTATTGCAATGTTCAAGCATTCGCTGACGATACGCAGATGTATTGTAGTTTTGAATGCGAAGACATTAAGGAGGCTGAAGCCGGCATTAATAACGACCTAAAAATACTAAGTGAACTCTCTAAAGGCCATAATTTACAACTAAATCCTGCCAAGTCTTGTATGATGATCTTTGGCAGCCAGAACAGAGTTGATGAAGTTGAAACCAATATTAATATACACATTAGCAATACGCAACTGAGTATTGTTGAATGCGCAAAAAATTTGGGAGTAATACTCGACTCAAAGTTAAGATTTGAGGAACATGTTAAAAAATTAATACAAAAATCATATTTTTCTCTTAAGCTTTTATATAATAGCAGGCATATCTTAAACCAAAAATTGAGAAAAAATCTGTGTGAGACTATGGTGCTATCTAACTTTAATTATTGCGATTACCTGTACGGATTTTGTTTGAATTCTGAGAGTAAAATGCGTATTCAAAAAGTGCAAAACTCGTGTCTTCGTTTGGTGTACGATATTAGAAAGTATGACCATATTTCTCACCTTTATAAGCGTATCAACTGGTTAAAGATGGATGACCGTAGAAATTTGCATTTTTGCACATTTATTTTGAAACTTGTCAATGACCCCGCTTCTCCTCAGTCCCTAAAAGAACGTTTAATTTTTCGCCAGGATGTTCATGACATTAACATCAGGGCTAGAAAAAAATTAACAATGCCACTTCATCGGAGTGCTATGTTTCAGAGGTGCTTCACATACAATGCCGTTAATTATTTTAATAGAATTCCCACAGAATTATTAAATTTAAGTTCAGAAAACTTTAAAACTAAATTTAAGTCGCACCTTTTTAATAGGCAAAATAATACTTAATTAAATGCTTTTCCTGTTCGTTTTATTGTACTATTTATGTTGTGTAATAAGTTATATCAGCTTAAATTAGTATGTGCTCTTACTGTAATTAGTACATACTTCTTTTCAATTTTATTTGAACCATTTGCCCAAAATTTTGTTTCATGAACTTTTTTTTTTTTCTTTCTATTACGGCTTTCACCATCAATTTAGTACTCAACTATATGGATATCTCTTTCTGGTTCAGTAGAGTAGCTATCAGAAAGCTAGACTGCGCCAGTAGTAGACGTCTAGAATGAATTTATTAATTGTAATTTTGTAATTTGTATACATGCAACAATAAAAGTCATTTATTATTATTATTATTATTCTTGGCTCTCTTGCTGTACCTACTGACTGACTGTGGTACAATTTTTCATCATATTATGTATTATTATGTATTTCACTATTTGAAATTTTTCAAGTGCATTTTAACTTACTTTGTTGATGAAAATATACTTTATTCATAGGTTCTTACCTCGGTTCTTACCTCTCAGACGCAGCCACAAAAACTAGTTTTGCAATTTTCCTCTGTGTTTCGGCAGTATTATAAACATTCCCGTCCTCACTCTTATTTTGATTCGAAATACTTTGATATAGTTCAGCGAATTGAACAAATGATATTTTATCAACATTCTTCAGACTACTGCTCATGTTTTATCACAGTTTTATATGCAATTTTGATAAACAATCGTATAAATATTAGAAGACAGGAACAACCATCAGCATAAAATATGGGAATATTCAGAATTGTGTTGTTGTGTTATGTGTGAGTGTTGTATTTTTGTTTTGATGCCGAGCAGATGGTGAAGACCGGTGCGGTGGCCCGTGACGCCGGTGACACACGGATGGACTTAACCTCACTTGAAGTCTTGAAGTTTCTCATGTGAAGCTGCGTACCTATGCTGCGTGCAGAGTGCGTTCATAAAATACACACAAAAGACGCTCTGCGTGATATTCGCTCGAATATCGTTCATAAATCAATCGAGCCGTCCTTTCTGTCATCTCCATTCCGTTCATAAATGTTATAAATTAGAACCCGGAGTGCGCCCCGCTTATTCGAATTTCGCCGCATTAGAATATCCGGCGAAATGTTACTCGATATGTGCATTTGTCAAAAAACTGAACATGTGAGGTTGTTTTTCGTTTTGTTTGGAGCACAGTTTTGAATCATCGCATACCTACTACCAATGTTCGAACTTTTAATTAAGTAAATCATAATTTTTTTACTGAAAAAGGACTTATTTGCCATATTTATGATTTGTATTTGAGAAAAAGGCATGAAAACCCGAGTGACACAAATGCGTTCATAAAAAAGTTTGCACTCTCGACACTCTGTGTGAAATAAAACCACACACTCCGTAGGCATACGCTTACACCCACAACAACAACATTTTCTTTCATGAACGCACTCCTCTGACCGGGCCGCATCTGAACATTCCGGTATAGGATTCGGCACCTAGGCATATTTCATTGGTCCGTTTGAATTCGGACCGCCAATTAATGCGGAGTGCCGAAATCGGTACTTGAATGTTGAACGGTGCTGAGCCCCAGGTCAGAATGGTATATAATGTATGGAGTATGAAGGGCCGAATCTAAGGTCGAAATGTTAAACAGTGCCCAGCTGCAGGTCGGAATGTTACTCCGTTAGCACGGCACAAAATCAACAAACAAACTTTATTTACTTTTTGGTACACATTTATATTATTTCAACGATATATTTCAAAAACCTTATACAATAATTGGCAGTGACGGACCCAGGGGGGGGGATTATAAAAACCTGGCAAATTAGATTAGAAAATTTTGGAAATAAAAACCTTTATAATTTTATATTTTTTTTTGGTATCTGTTGTGCTTAGTTTAATTAGAATATCAATTGAAGCCAGACAACAGCAGTTTTTGGATTTTCCTTTCTTATTATTTCCTTGATCCACTTTTTTGTAAGCACTATGATAGCATACAAAAACATATCTAGAAAATGTATTTTCTAAAGCCTAGGTATGTCATTGAATCGACATTGAACACAAACCTGCATTTGAATCTGGTATAATTATTCTTCGCTGGCTTCACATTCCAATTCGTGTATGTTATATCACTATACTCTTCTATCCATTGCTTTATATCGTTTTTCTCCAAAATGTTGGCTTGTTAAATTTGCTCAGTCACCACATTCAAAGTGTTTAAATGATCCAGGCAAACTCATCTTGCATGTTTAAGCGCAAGAGCACATGAAGCAACGGCGTAATAAACCGCATCCGCCGCAAAATTGTAGGTAAGAGAAACACGAAGAGGGTGGACAGCTGATTTAATATAAAAACCGTACCAAACACATGGCAACATTCGGACCTGATGCTCAGCACTGTTTAACATTTTGATTCGGCACTCCACATGGCTATTGCTAATGGACCATTCTGACCTGAGGCTCAGCACCGTTCAACATTCAAGTACCGATTTCGGCACTCCGCATTAATTGGCGGTCCGAATTCAAATGGACCAATGAAATATGCCTAGGTGCCGAATCCTATACCGGAATGTTTAGATGCGGCCGGGAAAGTGATTCTCGTATTGCTGAATAATTGGAACTAAAAGACAAACATTTAACAGGTATTTAACCGATTGCAGAAAAATAGTATGTGTATTTCGGTGGAAAAGCACATTCTCGGCCTTGGGTGTTTGCCGGCCTTGGCTACGCCTCGCCCGTCAACTTACACCGTCGGCCGAGAATGTGTCTTTTTTCCACCTAAATACACAATGTACTATTTTTTGAGGTTTATTGCGGATAACATGCAATTACGTTCATCTCATCTTCTGGTTAATAAGTTATTGGGAACGATGGTGAATCCGAATTTTAACCCGATCTTCTACCTACGTCAAAAAATACTCACCTTAATTTGGGGTTAGATTAGTGACCTTGTTGATCATAGATAATGCAATAATACAGTCAAGTAAATGTACACAATATTTATAGAAACCTAACAGAAATAAAAATTTTAAGTAAGGGATTCCTTTTTACCAAAAACATAATCACTTTATGAATATATAGGTACCCTGTAAACAATTAGACAAAATAGAATGAAACAACTTCAATATCGTAATCAAGCTGTTTAACTTTTGTCAAAATCCACTTAGGATTCTGAGCTCACTACTACTTCGAAGGCCTTCAACTTATCGAGGAATACGACTCCTCTATATTTACTCTGTGATCGAGAAGAACCCTTTAGGTCCTCGACAATATATCGATTGTGATCAAGGACCTGTACGATTTCGTATGGGCCACTAAACTAAGACAAAAGTTTCTTGCTTTCGCCTTGGTTACTTGTAGGAAACGTTTGAACTGGTACTGGTTGCTATGTGGTAAAGTATTGCTATGGAGTAAAGTAGAAGTTTACCACTTAATTTTGAGTGCAGTTATGTATCACATTAAAGTCAAAAATGGAATAATAGTATATTAAGCACCAAGTTTAGTAAAGTAAAGTTTTACCAATTGAGTGTGGCCAGTTTTTTATACGAGGGAGCGAAGCGAGCGAGTGCTCTAAGGCCTCACGAAATTGGTAAAACCCTTTGCTAACGCGTTGCTTACACTATTTTATCGCATTTTGTCTTCAAATCGTTAAAAATATGATTTCACTTTTGACATGACATTAAAATAATTTTTGAAATGACATTCACAACAGACGGTGGCCTAGAAATCTCTAAAAATTATAAGGGAAGCGATAAAAAAAAAACAGGTATTATTCAGATAATGGTTGCTATGTGGTAAAGTGTTGCTATCTTGGTAAAGTGGCACTTTACCACTCAATTTTGAATGCAGTTATGTATCACATTACTGTCAAAATGCGATAATAGTATATTAGATGCGGAGGTGGAAAGTGTTTCATTATTGTCGAGAGATACTATGGTTGACCGAGGTGCGAAGCGCCGAGGTCAACCAATTCTCGATACAATAATGTGAAAACTTTCCACCGAATTATGTATACTATTTTATTTTGAACTATTAATTATTGAAAAAAATAAGGTAAAAATATGACAAAAATGGAATTTCGACTGACAATCTGACACCGACATTGACATATCTTATGAAATTTCAACAATATAAACACATGTATGTGACATCTACTTCTAAATACAAATATTGCACCTGGATTTCTGTTTGGGTGTGAAAGAATAATTTATCAGGGCGAGCAGTCACTTTCGGCCTGCTTCGAAGTAAACAAAAGTAAAGTGACATTTTCTAACCTTCAAACCAGTAAGGAATGTGAAAGTTACATAGGTATATATATGGTTCAAAATAAACATTATTTCTATGAAAAATATTGAATTACCTACTTATTTTATTTGTAACCATCATTTTAATGAATTCGTCAATAAGTTTATTATTACATCCATCATTTATTATGACTCGCGTATCGATGTGGCCTCTGGCATTTGTTGTAAGTCGCAATGTTTCCATGGATAAATCGTCCCCTCAGTGAAGTTAAATCGATATTCGGATAATGTCACGTTATTGAATTATTGAATTCGATACGATGTGCCTGGGACTGGTGGGTTATTTCGAACCCCCAGAAACCATAACATTATCATTATTTATTAACATATTCAATCATTCAGCTAATGGAAATGGTATAGAAACGTAGGTATCATTTTCATTTCGGAAATTAAAAGAAACGTTGGCATGATCTACAGAAAATGGCAGTTGAGAGAAAAGTGTTTTAGCTAAAGTATATAGCGTGTTTCACACTGGATGGCTTATAAGATGTTTATGAAGATATATTTTCTAAAATTTGGTACACCAACGGCAAACATTGGAATTTCAAATAGAAAAGCCTAATAGTATATAGGGTGTTTTAGAAATGGTGTTACAAACTTCAAGAGCAGATAGTATTCATGAAAATAATTAAAAAAGTTCCTATGGATATAGGTCCGGAAACGCTTTGTTTCCAAGATACAGGGTGATACGTTTTTCAAAAAAAAATAGTTTTTTAATAATAGTCCAAAAGAGCTTTGGCCGAGTTCAATTAAATTTTCACTGTTTATCTCAACCATTATCAGACATCTACTGGACTTATTAGATTTGATCCAGAATTCCCAGGGGCGTACCCAGCGACCAAGTCGGTTGTCTTTGTGCAGAAGAAAATATCACTCTGTAGTTTTTGTACGATTTTTATTGATTATTCAGATAGATACACTAATAATACATCATTTTGGTCTCTTAAATTTTTCAATTATGTCGCTTTGTTTTCCTGGAAAAATTACAATACCATACCTCGGCATGTCTCTGAACTCCATAAGAAAAAATAAAAATGCTTAGGAATTGATTAAGAATTTATCGGAGTTTGTTGATTTATGAAAACAAAACAAAAAAAAAACCTCAAATGGAATTTATGTCCTTGTCACTCAATGAATCGGTGATGTACCTTAATTGCTATGAATTTTTATCTTTCCTTATGGAGTCCAGAGACGTGCCGAGGTATGGTATTGTAATTTCTTCCGCGAAAGCGAAGCGAGATAACTGGAAAATTTAAGAGACAAAAATGTTGTATTTTTAGTGTGTCTATCTGAATAATCAATAAAAATCGTACAAAAACTACAGAGTGATATTTTTTTCTGCACAAAAACTACCGACTTGGTCGCTTGGTACTCCTCTGGGAATTCTG